AAAAAAACCAAAAAAAAAAAAAAAAAAAAAAACCAACAACAAAAGATTATTCTTACTTGGAGATGGATTTCCAGAATCTTCCTGGATAATTCTAGTTATAGAAATAACCTGATCAAGATCAGCACCCTCACCCTAGGTTTTGGATCCTGTAAAGGTTCAGGGTAATAAGCAAATGTAGTCTCACTAAAGACACTTCTAGAAACTAACACAGTGAGAAAAAAAAACTTTATGACATTCTAACCATTTTGCTCTAGTTATAGAAAATAGGAAACTATATCACCATCTCTTAAGAGGCCAACTATTGAAAACTAGTCTCGAATCTAACCTGCTAGCCTGATTAACTTGTAGTTAGAGATCTCCCATCACGTATACCATGACAGTCATGTATTCCATGTATCCGAGGGACTTCAAAAAGTTCCTGGAAAAATAGAATTACAAGATAATAAAATCTTTCTATGAACTTTTTGAAGTACCCTCATACATCATGTATACCATGACAGCAAGCATATTGCACCCCATTTTAAGCTTGATATTAGAAAGGACCAGCTCTCCATTTCCATTAGTTATTGTAACTATAATTTATTAACTAGTTAAGTCCCTTCAGGTACTGCTTGCAAAGTCTGTACTAATATTAAACTAAGTACATTCATGCCCTTATCAGGAAACAAAGGCACACCAGAACAGGAGAGAAGCTTATGATAAATGATTATAAGATAATATAGCTGCTTTGGAATTCTTTCACAATATTTATTCCTTTAACTCCATTCTTCTCCACCACCCCCACACAACACTTTTCCCAAAATAAAACAAAGGAAAACATCTGGGTGGCATACAAAAAGACAATTAATATTTATTTTACTCAAGCTTTCATATAAGAAGTTAAACAAAAACAATGCTTAATTGAAGACGTTACCAAAAATGTTAACGTTGTTTCATGTATCCCTTCAGTACCCAAATGAGGAAAAAACTTATCTCAATGAAAGAATAAGAATGACCATGCTTACAGTGGGTTTACTTGGGTGTGTGGGGAAAAAATCCGTATAGGTTAGACATAAAATAGTAAAGGAGCCTAGCAGTTTCCTACAGGTAATGGGAATCCTACTGATATACTGAAGAATCCAAGAGCTCCTAAGCCCTGGAGATCACTTTTTAGAAATTGTTAAATAATCATAGGTACTCCCATAATTTACTGCCCCCTTTTCCCTTAGCTACTGTACTGCTAGAAGAGGATGGAAACAAAATACAATTTTCCCATTCCCACACTGCATAACTGTAAATGTCATCAGTTCCTCGGAAATTTCAAAGCATCCTCTTCATCGACGCCTAAATAAGATAACAGTAAAAATGACTTTGGGTGAGGCAATTCAGTGTTTTGCTTCCCAGAACGATAAAAGACCTGGCGAGGAAGTAATCTCATTCCTCCACAGGAAAACCATATCCTTTCTAGAGAACAGGAGAACAAAGTAAGACATCCACTATGCCTGTTTCCCAGCCTCAATCTGATCTCAGAAAAATAAAAGCCAGGGAGGAAACACCTTTACATGTACCACTGCCATGAACACCAGCTTCCCCAGAGAAGCCAGGGCACAGTGCTCCTCCACTGCCAGGGAAACAGGTTGCCATTTTTATTCGAACCCGTGGAGAGTAGGGGTCTATTATCTCTCCTCCCCTAGGAGCAAGAATTGCAAGTAGCATGATCTTATTAATATAAATTGGTAAATGTTTGGAGAACTTGTGATATGAAGTTCTCAGGTTCCTACCTGTAATCTGAGTCTCTGTGTATGAGCAGAGATAGGGAAGGGTTCCTCTCATTTCCCATACTTTAAGTTTGGAGGAGGTAGGAGCAGTAGAGGCAGTAGAGGGAATATATATGGATATGCTATGGGGATGGGTGAGGATGGAACCCTAACATATGCACAAAAAATAATAATAATATAAACATTAGAGCCTTGGATGGCTGGTTATCAATATAAGACACAAAACCTACTTAATTAAGCATTTGTGGCAGTGAAAAGAGGAATCCTAGGGCCTTTGTAAAGAAAGAGAAAAAGATACAACTACTCTTTTTCTCAAGCAAGTAACAACGTTCTAGGTGAAGATGATAACTCATCTCTGTTTAGAAAATGTATAGAGAAACATCAAATGCTAAAAACACTCAAACAATTGCAGACTCAAAGGAAAGTTACAAAATATGCTAGAATTTAGTCATTGTTTCTCAGTCTACTCACACTTTACCTGAGATGCAAATTACCCCCTGCTCCTCTAGGTGTTCTGAGCAGATTTATATCCTAATTTCCAATGAAAGGCAAAAGGCTACAAGGTAAGGAATGAGGGAGAATGCAAAAGGGGAAATTGTGAGGAAGCTGGAAAGTTGGAAGGTCTGAAAAATGACCAGTGGAGATAAATCAAATGTTAAGAACTGAGGAGTCCCAACTAGATTGTAAACCCTTTGAGGGGGATCTTAAGGGTCTAGTGGAAGCCAGACACATATAGTAAATACTTGATTTGAGTAGCAGAGGTGAAGAAAAAACAACACATTATTAGAGGCTTCATGGTTCAAACTCTAATACCCAATGAGTTAGTCATTCTGCCTCTACTGAGCTTCAAAGTCTGCAATGGCTTTGAAAGGTCTTGGTAAAGAAGCTCCCTCTGCTTTTTCTGTAGTTGTCATCATCATGGCCAACACTGATTTCCGGGGCTTTCAAAGCAGAGAAAAATGCTGTAGAAGGGGATGACGATTCCAGACTGTTAAGAGTTTTAATAGCCACAAACTTTGCTCAGTGGGATACCAAACAACAGATACCAGATTTTACCCATTTTGTTAGATGTTCTCTCTGACTCAAGTTTGGCATTAGGATTTGCACCCAAAATGAGTTCCCCCACAAATAAAACTTGTTGGTGTTGTTTGACCCAAAGAATACAAAGCAAACAGATCCCTCAGAAAGTCTTGATAAGGTTAACTTTACTGCCATCATCACTTTTTCTTTGTCCCCTAGTTTGAAGCCTTCGCAAAGGATGTCTGCTTTTATAATTCAATGAGAATGACTCCACTCTCTTCTCCAAATAGCCCAACATTTTTAGTTTTTTGGTGCATGACTCAACATAAAGACCCGGGGCTCTTATGAGCAGCCTGCTTTGAAATGGTCTAAGAGTTTCGGTTTCCATTTAACAAGTTGCCAGATAACAAATGAAGAATGGGATGAATCTTCACAAGATCACACTGAAGGTGAAAATAAATTATCCCCATCACTGAGAGGCTTTCTTCAGATTTTCTATCAGCACTACAGAGTCAGTTTCTTCTTTGGTTTGCTTTTCATAGATGTCATACTTCTTCCAGTGCTGGAAGGGAGGAAAAAACAGATACATGATGATTTTTCCAAACAACGATCTTTCCCTGAGTACTCACAGCCAACACTTATTTTTAGGTTTGCGTGCATAGAACCATGAGTGTATGTTTTTCTGGGTTTTGTTTTAGTTTTTTTGACCTAAGGATCTTCATCTACTTGAACAATTAATGAAACAAAACAATCAGGAATTAACATTCAAAGGGGAAAAGCATGGGATATCTTACATGATGTTTAATGGCTATCTCAAATGACAAACAAATTAGGACATTTCTAAAATTGGAAATAAAGTCTTTTGAAGAATAAAAGGGTAGCATACTTTTCTTACTTCAACTGTTTCACTCAGACCTTTATTATCTTTATTTTCTTATCACTCAAATCTGACCATTGCTCCAGAGATACGATAGACTCAAAAAGTCAACTAACATTTAAGTGCATGGCATTACATAGGATGTCCAAAAATCTTAGTGCAGTTAAAACTTTTGAAAGATCCTGTATTAACAGCTTCATCTAATATCATTTGCTAGAACAGGGAATTATGCATAAGGCAAACTCATCTTGAACCCAGTTCAAGCATGTCTGTTATGGTGAAAGCCAATATCCTGGTCCTTGCCTTCTTTACCTGTAAATCAGGAGAAAGGGTGAAACCTGAGCTCATCTATAAAATTAAGTTGTTAGACTAAACCAGGGGTCAACAAACTACAAGGGTATTTCAAAAAGTTTGTGGAAAATAGAATTAAAAGATAATACAAATTCTTCCATGAACTTTTTGAAATAACCCTGTATGGTCCACAGGCCAAATCTGGTTGGCTGCCTGTTTTTGTAAATAAAGTTTTATTGGAACACACCCATTTGTTTCTGTATTTTCTGTGACTGTTTTCATGTTATCATGGCAGAGCTGTGAGAGAGACTGAATGGCTTGCAAAGCCAAAAATATTTACTATCTGGTCCTTTACAGAAAAAGTTTGCCAACTCTCGCACTAGATTCTGTCTCAGCTCCTTTTCTGCTCTATGATGTTCTATGGTCCTATAAGCTTAGGGAAAGAAATGGAGAAAAGAAAAACAGAAACAAGAGCAACAAAGACTATTCAGCTGCCTCAGGTTGTGCAACTGGAGGTAGACTGAGAAAACTAGGAGCATCCAGTCTTAGAGGGTGTATGGATGGATGAGCTGAGAAACACTACTTAAAATATCCAAATTATTCTAATTAAATTATTTAACTCTGACACACCTAGTAGAATGGTTAAAATTTAAAATCTGGCAATTCCAAGTGCTTGTGAGTATGCAGAGTAAATGGATCCCTTGCATATTGTCATGGAAATGTAAAATAGTACAGTCACTATAGAAAGCATTTGACAGTTTCTTATAAAATAAAACATACACTTACCAGATGACCAGAAACACCACTCCCAGATATTTACCCAAGAGAAAGAAAAACATGTCCACATAAAGAATTATACATGAATGTTTATAGCAGCTTTACTAATAATAGCCAAAATGTAAAGTATGCATAAAACAAATGTACTTCACAGGGCCTGGTTTTCCAAAGCCCTGCAGTTTCAAATATTGACCTTGCGAAGGACAGGAAATTTTCTCCAGGCTAAATAGTCTCTGTTGTAAGATAAAAAATTGTAACACAGCAAAGTTGCTGGCTCAAAGACAGACAGGTTACTGATTCATATGTAAAGATACTGGGAAATTGCTGTAAGAAGAGAATGTTTGCTAAAATCAAGCTTTTGTTAGTGGATCGACTTAATTGCATTATAGAATGTTGAATATGAACCTTACTGAATGTTACCAGCTTCTATTGTTAAACTTGTTAAACTATGCTTAGCAAAAACCCCACCTATGTTCTCTTCCTGGAACTTCCTGGTCTGGAGAATAAATGCAGGGAGAGAACCCCAATTCGTGGTTAATTTCCCAAATGGAAGGAATGAGTTTATCTTGAGGGTTCCAGGAGATTAACCCTTTTTTGGGGCTTCTCACTGCTCAGAAGAGATGGGCTTTGAGTAATCTTTGGCAGCTCTGTCACCTGGGGAAAAGGGGTGACAAATCCGTGGGAGGCAAAGCAATACCAAAAATCAGATACAGTCCTGATGTCCTTGAGCAAGTAAAGGGTTGAACTGTGGTACAGCCATACCACGGAATACTGCTTAGCAATAAAAAGAAATGAACTATTGATGCACACAACAACATGGATATCTCTTAAATGCATTATGCTAAGTGAAAGAAGCCAGATTCAAAAAGCTTTGTACTGTACGATTTCACTTACATGACATTCTGGAAAAGGCAAAACTTTAGGGACAGAAAACAGATTAGTGGTTGAAACAGTCTAGGGTCAGGGGAGAGGGCTGACTACAAAGGGGCACAAAGGAACTTTTGTGGGATGATGGAAATATTCTGTATCTTGATTGGAGTGGTGGCTACAAAATTGCATATATTTGCTAAACCACTACAACTGAACACTTAAAAGAGTAAGTTTTATTGTATGTAAATTGCATCTCGGCAAACTTGATTTTTAAAAATGTGAAATGCACAGACTTCTAATAAAAACAATCTGAAAAGTTATATAACCTTGAAATAATGGCTTATTCAATGAATGGCACTAAGACAACTGGCTAAGCATCTGAAAAAAAAAGTTAAACCCTACCTCGCAGCCTACAGAAATAAATCCCTGATGAATTAAAGAACTAACTGTAAAAAACAAAATCAAGTAAGTACTAGAAAAATATAAAGGGGAATAACTATATAAATCTGAGGTAGGAAGGGCTGTCAACACATACAAAATAAAGGAAGATTTTACTGCATAAAAACGGAAAAAAAAAATCTTTTGTACATCATTAATCACCATAAATACAATATAAAGGCAAACATGGATGACAAGCCAAAAGATTAATATCTGATATATAAAGAGCTTTACAAACCATCAAGGAAAAAAACGATACCACAGGGGAAAATGGACAAGGAACAAGAATTTCACAAAAGAATTAATTCAAGCCAATGAACTTATGAAAAAAATATAAAACCTGATATGTAAAATTAAGATGTCTTTTTCTCAACTATCAACTTGGCAAGAATTTTAAAATGAGATAATACCATGTTGGCAAAAGTGTGGCCAAACAACCATTCAGACATACTACTGGTAGGTATATAGATTGGTACAACCCCTAGTTGTAATCTATTCTCCTTGTGAAAAATTTAAGAATGTGTATTCTAATGCCCCTGTTTCCTTAACCTAAAGGAATCATACTCCATATATTAACTCGGGTGTTTCACTTAACAACATATATATTTTGGGCCGGCCCGGTGGCGCACTGGAGAGTGCGCCGCTTGGGAGCGCGGCGGCGCTCCCGCCGAGGGTTCGGATCCCATGTGGAGACTGGTTCCCACTCACTGGCTGAGCGCGGTGCGAGGGCAACACCGAGGGTTGCGATCCCGTTGCCGGTCAGTAAAAAAAAAAAAACATATATATCTTTATACATCAGTAAAATCTACCTCATTTTCCCAAGTGGCGCACTGGAGAGTGCGCTCCCGCCGAGGGTTCGGATCCCATGTGGAGACTGGTTCCCACTCACTGGCTGAGCGCGGTGCGAGGGCAACACCGAGGGTTGCGATCCCGTTGCCGGTCAGTAAAAAAAAAAAAACATATATATCTTTATACATCAGTAAAATCTACCTCATTTTCTTTAACCTCTGTATAATATTTCATTGCATAAATGTGTCATAACTTACTTAACTGGTATTTTAATGAATATTTAACTTGTCCAAACTTTCTCGATGATAATTTGTCAATATCAGTCAAAGAGTTTATCAAAATGTGTATACTCTCCCCCTTGATCCATGAATCCTGCTTGTAATGATTTATCTCAAGAAAGTAATAAAATACATATGCTAACAATTAGCAATGAAACTATTAATGAAATTAATGAAATTTAGAATTCATCTAAATGCTCAATAATAGGGACTCGGTTAAGTACATGATAATATATTCACACAATAGAATACTATTTAGCCATTAAAGAGTATATTATAGGACCAGAGTTAGCACACTTTTCGGTAAATGGCCAGATAACAAGTATTTTCAGCTTTGAGGGCCATATAGCCTCTGTACCAATAACTCGACTCTTGTAGCATGAAAGCAGCCATAGAAAATATATAAATGAATGGGCATGGCTGTGCTCCAATGAAACTTTATTTATGGACACTGAAATTTGAATTTCATATAATTTTTTTGGCCATGAAAGAGTACTCTTTAGATTTTTTTCAAGTATTTACAAGAATAAAAACCATTCTTAGGTCAAAGGCTGTACAAAAACAAGCAGCAGGCAGGATTTGGCCCAAGGTCTGTAGTTTACAGAGAAATTCTGGGAGGGAGGTGGTGGTGGCGGCAGCATAGTTTTTGAATCCGCAAATGCCACCATAAAAAACAAAAGAAAACAAAACAAACAAACAAAAGAACACAAATAGGAAAGAGAACTTGGGCAAGTAGAAAAGTAAAACTAAAGTCCAGCGGCACAATCTACAGCAAAACTAGATGAAAATGATTCCTCCTATGAACCCCAAAATAAGAGTGGGTAGGGACAAACTAGAAAGAACTACAAGACCAAAACAGTATCAGCTGTGGAAGAGTACACAGAGGCAATCAACATGGCATTCGATAGTTCTGAGAACTCTAAAATAACTCACTCAAACTTCAGCAAGCTAATTTATGAACAGCAACTAAGGATGGGAGGGGTCTGCACCTTCAAACAGTGGTTGAGTGCAAGGAGTCCATGCTCTAGACTGGGAGCAGCCTAGGCCCCCATGAACTCTCAAAACTAACCATCCAAAGGAAAATGTGGTGTATATATATACACAATGGTATACTACTCCGCCATAAAAAAGAATGAAATTCTGCCATTTGTAGCAACATGGATGAACTTAAAATTATGTTAAGTAAAATAAGCCAGGCCCAGAAAGAGAAATACCACATGCTCTCAGTCATAAGTGGGAGTT